CCCGCGGGTCGCCTCCCCGCCCCGCCGTCGGCCAGGCGCCGCGGGTGGGTCGTCCTGCTGCCGAGGGGCGACGCCTCCCCCCGCTCCCGCCTTGGCTTGCAGCTCCCGGGGCACCCCCGCGGCCTTCAGGAACGGACGTGAGCGGCAGCGTCGGCTGAACCCCGCGGCTTTAAGCCACGCCTTGCCCTGTGCATCCCGCTAGTTACACCTTCAGGTTACGGCCGCAGCAGAGACCGAACGGGAAAAGGCGCTCGCTGGTTGTTTACTGTTGGCGTTTCTCAGTGTTGGCAGTTTCGCTTTCAGTTCTCGGCGCCGCAGCCCTGCAGACGGGAGCGGGTACTCGTTTGGCGCGTACATAAGCGAAATAGTATGTTTGAGTTACGCTGAAGAGTCAGGAAGTAGTCTCGATGCATTAAATTGGGTTTGCTCTTGAAGGGGCTTTGCTGGTTAATTTCTGTGGGGAAAAAGCCGTTTGTGGGTGAGGTAGAGCCTGAACACGGTGTTACAATATGGTGAAAAGAAGGCTTTTACTTTTTTCTATTTAGCATCAACACGCTCTTTTACTCCAAGGCAGTTTTGCAGTTTGTATTTACATCCTCTGACGATGTCAGTTTGCCTAGACTGTAGTTGTAGACTAGAATCTAAACTAGATTATACATGTTGTGGCTCTGCAAACTGCTTGTCAGAGGCTCTCTTCAGTGATTTCAGTGGGACTCTACCGAGGTGAAACAGTCTGCAGACGAAGGTTTAGTTTATTCCCGTAGTTGAAGGTGAGAGAGGGCAGAAGGTGGTAAAGACAGAACATAAATCTTGCAAAGTAAAACAGATGTTTAAAAACAACTTCACTGTTAAGCTCAACAAGAAATGGTACAGATTTAATTAACCAAAGAAGACTTTATTTAGGTTTTGTTCAGTGGATTTGCATACGGGTGGATTTGTGCTTCCATAGGAGCTGTGTTAACTTCTGTGCATTATGGCATGTTTTTTTAACATGCCTTCCTCACTGAAATCTGTATTTTCTGACTGCTTTTTCCTCTCTAGGTTCTTTGCCTTCCCTTTATGCCTCAAAAAATTTTTCAATTAATTTGTCTGTTTTGGTCACGTTTGACAGCCGAGCTGGAATCGCAAAGATAATTTCTTATAAGTTTTGTGAAGATCAGTGGCTGAGGAAAGGAGAAGGCCTGAAATTAGTATCCCCAGTAAGGAACAGGCAGATATGTTTGCCACATCATCTATTTAAGAGACATCAGACAAATGATCTATCCATGATAGCCATTGGTGATTATTACTAGCAATGCCATGTGCTGGCAGCGTTATGCATCTTTTGGTTTGCTGTGGTTATCGAACAGGAGGCAAAGATGCTCCTCCATTCTGCAGTCACAGTCTTCTGGAAAGGGATATGTGAATGGTAAGCCAGGGGTGGCATAATGGTCCGTGAATTGTAAGCCATCGCATCTGTTGCAATTACAATTTCAGAACTCTGTCCTTAGGGGAGTCCACAAGTCCCATCTGTTTCCATTTGAAGTTAGTGTATAAAATTATTTGTTTGGATGCTAATAAATATTACATTTTCAGACTAGGAGACCATGCAAGGCTTTGTCGTTGTTTGATATTTTCACCAAGGATCTGAATAAAGGCCTGGGAGCCAAGGCGTCTGAGTTGCCATCCAGTCATTGACCAGCTGGAGTAACCAAAGCTTTTTAACCTGGATGCAGAACATTGCCTAAACATAGCTTTATGATATGCAGGTGCACAGCCTGAAAACCAGCCAAAAAGAAACTGGTACTCCAAAGTGCCGTTCTTACGGACAGGCTCTGTGTTTCTTGGAAAGTAGTACAAAATGTGGGATTAGGTCTCTAATTTAAGGTGCTCAGTCATGGTTCTCTGTAATAGTGTGCAGAGAGAAACGAATACTGCCAGAGGGCTATTCCTCCTGCCTGAGACACTATCTGGTGTCTAAGATAGTGTTAGAGATGTGCTGTTTCTTTTTCATACACGATGTGTAAAATTGTCAAAAGGTGTATTAACATCATATTTCCTAATTTTTGTTTGTTCCTGTATCAGTATTAGTGGGGCTAATAGGCTTAGAAGACTGAAAACAAAGGATCTTTATAACATCTTGAATCTACAGGATTGTGGCTCTGCATTGATTTCAGTTCAGAGTTCAAGCAACATAATCCCATTACTTTTAAAATCATAATTTGGCTCTCTGAAATAAGGCAAGATGGAGGAGAGATTTAAGGCTGCTACAAAAGAAAATTGTGGAAGTGTAGTTTAAATGCAGGCTACAGAAGGCAAAAGTCACCAGCCATGAATATTGCTGTCCTCGGACGAAAAGAGAATGCAGGGACCGAACCCTCATTGCAGGGGAATTCTGTTTTATTCCAAATGTAATTCCAAATTACATAGAATAGATCACATTTGTTTTAAACTAAAGTGTAGGAAATACTAGCAACAATTAGATTAAATGAGGGCATAAGAACTTTTTTGCTTTATCAGCTGGCATTCTGTTTGTTCATGCAGTGTGAGGACAAAAGGTTGGATAGATAATCTAGAGGCTACTAATTCTAGAGGCTGATTCACACTTAGGGCTACTGTAGTGAAGTGCTTTTGGTCTTACCTGACACAAGTATAATGTTCTTCCTCTGAAGACTTTGTTTAAGGGAATACATACGGCTATATCTCTAGCATAGGACCTTATGGAAAGTCAGGAAATTAGTTTAACTGACAGCAGTACGACTTGTGAGATGGTGAATTACATGTCTGATAATTTGGCTAGAACAGATTCCCTCCTATCTTACTGTAATGCTTGATTTTTCTGATGGCAAACTCTTTTCTCCAGGCTATGAGACTTTATCCTCTGCTTTGAGTAATAGTTTCTCCCATTAGGGCTGCCTGCAAGGTTGCTGTAAAGTACCTCTATCTTTAAGAGTGGATTTGGGGAACATACCCAGTTACATCCAGATACAGGGTGGCCCTTTCTGGTGAGAGACCAAGACAAGTGTTTGCGTATGGCTTACAAGGAATATCTCTTGGAGGAGAATGGAGTCTGCAAACAAACAATCTTGGAAGGGTGCAGAAATCAAACGGATTATGTTCTGTGCTTTCAGACCAAAGGCTAAGTCTTGAAAACATGATTCCTGCAACTGTTCACACTGTCCTGAGTGCTCTATATTTATGCTGCCACAGAAAGAACTGGTTACACTCGGAGGAGAAACACTAAGGATGAAATGCGCTTGCAGCTAAAGTATCCTCATCATGAATAGGTACACAACTATCAGACAGCTTGGTGATGGGACCTACGGCTCTGTCCTCCTAGGGAGAAGCATTGAATCTGGAGAACTAATAGCCATTAAAAAGTAAGTATTTTCTTCTGTTACTTAATAGTGGATGGTCCAGGTTTTTCCATTCTATGGTCCGCATCACTTGGTCCTGCTGGTTTGAGTACTTAACATTCCATGCAACATTTATATTTGAAGTTGTGTTGGGGCAGCTTGCAAAGCTCAAGTTCCCTGTATCCTCCAAAGCCCCAGCAGAAGATAAAGAGGGTGAGATCTATAGGCTTATAGTGCCAATGCTCTGCTACTATGTGCAGTCAAACACGTATTATGTATATTATTTAGAGTATTCTGCGATTGGAATCTGCAATCCCTTCCCTGCTGCTTACATGGAACATAACATTTCATGGTCTAATTTCCAGTGTAATGTTAATACTGCAGTGGTAATTAACACAATGGATCTCATTGTCCATTGTCTGTATCTTTATATGCTATTACATCTTGGTCTTTTCAGCTTAAGATTTTCTTAAAATTCCTTGAGAAATCCACTTGATTTTCTCTGCTGCTTCAGCAGTGACCTCAGTTTGTAAATGGCTTGTTTGTCCTAGTCATGGTAAGAGACAGCTGTAAAGCATTGCAGGCACCTTTCTGAAATGCCGACCATGACCCAGGGACAAACGTGTCAAAAGAGCTTTCAGTACAATGCTGTTTTGTATGAACCATCAATAGCTGGCTTTAGGAACTTTTTAAATCCTCTGTGCTGAGAATATTTTTCCTTTATCAAACCTTGCCAGAGGCACCTTTGATTTGAATTTTGCAACGTGGTAGAAACTCAAAAATTTCAGAACAAACCGGAAGATGGTACTCTCTTAGCTTACACGTTAATGCCAGTCCATTATTAAGAACAGAAATGGCCTGGTGGCTGAAGGCACAAGACAGTAACTGCAAAAACACTGCTTAAACAAAAAAAATAATCCAGACCCCTTCACGAAATGAAGGGCTTGTAGTTCTTAAACTATTCTCATTATAAGAGCTGATTTCAAACTGGAAAGTTCCTACAGTAGTAAATAATACTGAATTATTACTAAAAGTCTGACAGATTCAGATCTTCAAAGGGTCCCTAACTCCCTGTGAAATCCAGACTCCAAGCAGTTGGGTATTTTTGTAAGTTTAATATGTGCTCTTCGTGTGTGTGTGCGTGTACGTATGAGCCTTTGTCCTGTTTGTCCTGAAGCAGAGAGTTATGTGTGAAAGAACTAAGTCATAATCAAAATGCATATGAACAAATAGGACCATACGTTACACACAAATACTATGTTCAGAACTGTATTCTGCCTTAGGAGAAAACAGATCTGCCACGCAGTTTGCTTCTGTTAGAGCAGAGCTGCTTATAAGGTTGAAAGGAAAAGCAGAATTTGAAAAGCAGTTGGCATGATAGATGCCACTTGCAAGGAGAAACATGAGGAGCAGTGAAAAAGGAAGAAACACAACTTAGAGGGAAAGGTATTGAAATTACAGAGAGACCAAAATATAGAGAAGAGGAGCAAGAATATGATAAAACTGGAGACCCAGTGAAGTGATTTAGTTTGGTCTTCATTAGATTCATTTCAAAACCTAGTCTGAGTTGTTCATAACTGTCGTAACCCTTGTTCTTTTTACAATTAGACTTAACTCCACCACATCGTATACTGGAAGGAAAAATAGCATGCTCTGACTTGGTGAAGGCTCTGAAATTTTTGCAACAAGATTTATACACGAAAAAAGGCAATCCTGTGTAATAGTAATGCTTTTAAGTTCTGTTAGAGTGTACCTTATCTAGAGATGTAAAGTTTTTTGACAAAGGAGATTACACCTTATATTTTGATGGAAGAACTGAATTGTTAAGATGTAATGAGACTTATGGGTTTAAGACCAGCTGATGTTAACCATGTATTAATCATTTTTTTCCCCTCTACTATTGCAGAATGAAGAGAAAGTTTTATTCCTGGGAGGAATGCATGAACCTTCGAGAAGTTAAGGTACTTGTTTAATTCAGTGGTTGACTTTAAATTAGACGATCCCTGTTGCATTTTGAGGTAGCATCAAATTCTTTCCACCCCTTTTATCAAAAACTCCCCCTAATATGAGCTGTGCCATATGGCATTACAGTTCTGTTTCCTGGCTCTGCATTTGAACAGGGTGTCTGTAGTCTTATAAAATTCTGTAGTCTTACAAAAAATCATTTGGTTGTAGAGAGCTGCTTCCTGCTTGCTGTGAGTGGTGTGTAAGTGAGAGAGCTTTCTTATCACAAAACCTGGAGTTGATTGGTGTTTGGTTTTCAGAGCTTGAGAACACATGTCCTTTGCACAGCAGTAACCTTTGTGCATGCAGTTCTTTCTGGATAGTTGGTTTGGGGGGAGACATTTAGCATGAAATTCTGACACCAGCAAAGCTTTAGGGCTGTGTTCTAAGGACTCCCTTAATTTCTAGTCCTTGCTATCACTGTTGCAAACATGCAGAAAACCTAGGTCACTTTTGTTACAGTGCCACATATTGGTACTATGTTGCTACAGCAAGAATGAACGTAGAATACACTGAAAATCTAAAAGAAGGGAGAACGAAGACCCAAGTATGCTGATTTTGGCTGCGATAGAGTTAATTTTCTTCATAGCAGCTTGTATGGGTCTATGTTTTGGATTTGTGACCAAAACAGTATAGGTAACACAGGGATGTTTTAATTATTGCTGAGCAGTTCTTGCACAACCTCAAGCCTTCTCTGTTTTTCACACTTCCCTGCCAGCGAGTAGGCTGAGGCTGGGCAAGAGGCTGGGAGGGGACACAGCCAGGACAGCTGACCCCAGCTGACCAAAAGGAAATCCCATACAACATCATGCTCGGGGATTAAAGCTAGAGGAAGGGGGGGACATTTGGAGTGATGGCGTTTGTCTTCCCAAGTCACCATTACACATGACAAAGCCCTGCTTTCCTCGAGATGGCTGAACACCTGCCTGCCAATGGGAGGCAGTGAACGAATTCCTTATTTTGCTTTGCTTGCAAGCACAGCCTTTGCTTTGCCTATTAAACTGTCTTTATCTCAACCCACAAGTTTTCTCACTTTCTGCCCTTGCAATTCTCTCCCCCATTGCACTGGGGGGGGGGGGGGGGGGGGGGGGGGGGGGGGGGGGGGGGGGGGGGGCGGCGCGCGCCC